GTGTCCCGTATGGGTGTGTGTGTCCTGTATGGGTGTGTGTTTCCTGTATGGGTGTGTGTTTCCTGAATGGGTGTGTGTCCCGTATGGGTGTGTGTGTCCTGTATGGGTGTGTGTTGGTGTGTGTGTTCTGTATGGGTGTGTGTATGGTGTGTGTGTCCTGTATGGTTGTGTGTTGGTGTGTGTGTTCTGTATGGTGTGTGTTGGTGTGTGTGTTCTGTATGGGTGTGTGTATGGGTGTGTGTGTCCTGTATGGTGTGTTCTGTATGGGTGTGTGTATTTTCTGTATGGGTGTGTGTATGGTGTGTGTGGCCCCTCGGTGGATTAGGCCGGCTCCGCCACACCCGCTCTGCTGGTATTTAAAGACACGTCTGAGCAGAAGGCCAGGTCTCAGCAGCCTGTGGGGCTGAAGGGGTCAGGCTCTTATCCTCAGCCTTCAGCCAGGTGCCAGATCACACATACGAGCACGATCCAATTAGGTGGAGGGGGGGGCGGGGCTTCCTGTGACCAGCAGAAACCCCGGCTGACCTCCCAAACATCAGCCCTGGCCGGTGTGCATGTCTCTGATAGAGGGGCGATTCCTCCTGGTCTGACATGAGGCCGCCGGTAGGGGAAGGCTCCCGGTGACGTCTTTAATTCAATTCAATTTTATTTATATAGCACCACATCACAACAACAGTTGTCTCACAGCGCTTTCCAAACAGAGCAGGTCAGACCCTACTCTGGAGTTAACTACAGAAACCCAACCATTCCCACCATGAGCAAGCACTAGGCGACACAGGCAAGGAAAAACCTTTAGCCTCTTTAACGGGGCTGGAGGAGTTTGACTGGCTCCTCATGGCTAAAAAAGGGGTCATATCTGAAGCCGTCGTGACCTTTGACCTGCTGACTGAGGCCTGACCAGCAGCTCCTGGCGTTCAGACCTGGGGCCCCCACAGCTGGGAAGCCTGTTCTTTCTGCAGAAATGTTTGGATTTGCCCTCTGACCTCCCCCGGGTTGATGGTCAGCAGCACCTTTGGCTGAAGTCTTTCCTCCTGAGCTTTCTGTAAACGCTCCAAACCTCCAAACCTCCATCCGTGTGGACCCACCTTTGCTTCACAAATCCTGAGAAACTAACATTTTCTGTGCTGCTGCTTGTTTTCTTTGCCTCCCGGAAGTGAGAAAACTCTCATTTACAGCCGCTGAATTAACTAAAGACAGAACGGGGCTGGTCTGTGGGGCGTTTGCCAAACTCCTGGCTCTGAATAATCCAGACAGCTGGAGCGGGCGCTGATGAGTTTGGCGCCGGCGCCCCGTCACCTCCAACACGAGGCAGAAGCAGCCGAGCATTAAGCCGAGGAGCAGAGACGCTGGCAGAGAGTCTTTATCTCATCATGAGCATAATGAAACTCACAGATAATCCCGTTTCTTTTTTTTTTTTTTGCAATCTAACCTCCAATTAAGGCCTGGCTCTAAATTAGAGCACGGCAGACAGGTGAGGGCCCAGAAAGGAAACACCCGGGTTAAGACGGGATCTGAGGGCCGGAAATACACAGCCGGGTCAAACCAGGACGAGAGGAGACACAGCCCTCATTTCCCATGAACACACACACACACACACTCACACACACACACACACACCCACACAGACACACACTCTGGCCTGACTGCTCTTTACCCCCAAAGTCTCCTTTTAAAGTTTCATGGTCCTGTTTTCCTCTAAATACTAGATTCAGTTCGACTCTGGATGCAACACACGTTCTTTTTTAGGTCTGAAACAAAACCCTCGTGTCAAGATTTTCTCCTTTCCCTATTTTAGGGTAAAAAAACAGGATGGGTGTCAGGCGTCGGTGTGATTTTCAGCACAACAAACACAAAGTGAGGCTTTGCTTTCACAGGTGTGATGCAACACGTTTTGGTTAATCAGACTCAGTCTGGCACCTGCTGACAGCAGAGCTCACCTCTGACCCACAAACAGAAACACACACTCACACAAAAATTGGAGAAATTTCAGCCTCGTGCCTCATCTCAGCATCAGGATGAGTGATTTCGTTCTGCCTGTTTGTGAGCGCTCTGCCTCTGTGTGCCCGTCCCAGACGCCTACCCGGTCTCAGAGGTGGTCTACACCTGGACCCAGGGAGCCGCCAAGTCTGTGGTGGTGGCCGAGGACGGGTCCAGACTCAACCAGTACCACCTGATCGGCCAAACGGCCGGCACGGAGGACATCAACACCAGCAGAGGTCTGTGCACGCCCTCACTTCAGACCGGGATGGGGATCATTCTAAAACTACCAGCAGCTACTTCCTGTCTCTGTATTTAGGCCAGCTTTTATTTGACTTCCTGTTTTATTAAAAATAACGTAATTTCTACACCTTTAGAGGCGATTTCCAGCCTTGAGCTCTGGTGTTTCTCCCTTAAAAACTCCTAACAAGCTGACGGTGAGTTGGACTGGGTGGCAGGAGGGATCGGTCGGGATCAGGGAGTTTTGGTGCAGTTTTATTTAAGGAAAACCTCCAGGTTTTTTTCTGTTTGGTGGCTTTTGCTGGTCATTTTTTCCACAGTGAGAAGCTTATTCAGTTCCAGCAGAATCTTACTGACTCATTTGTCCAAAGACACCCTTCTCATAACTTTGCTCATAGTGACATAAATTTAGGTTTTTCCGGCCTTATTTGAAAGAATTCACGTGGTTGTCGTCAACCTTTTAAAGCAAATTAACAAATAAGTCCTTTACACACAAAGACACTGCGGAACAGTAGATTAGATGTAGAATCCAACAACATATGTGCTATTTTGTCAGTCGTTTTGGGGCTTTTCTGGCCTGAATAAGCATAAAAGCGCCCTCCTGCATTAAGGCATTATTGATTTTCTGCTAAGTACTCCTGCTTTCCATCCTTCAGCTTTCCATCAAACCTCCACTCGCTTCCCCAAACCTGTGCAAAGCCCACCTTCAGACTCACCTCCCAGCAAACTGACTCAGGATGTCGTCCACAGATGAGTGTAATACCAACTAATGTGATGTAACTAATTCTAGATTAGATAAGATGCATGGAGCACGGCGAGAGGCGCGTTAGGCCGCGACTAAATGCAGGAAACATTATCGGGAGATCAGAGTCAATGAGTGGAAGTCGGAGGGGGAGAGTAGCCTATCCGTCACACAGCCAGCTGTCTGCAGGCTCGGCCGCCCTGTCAAACAACACTTATCCCAGCGTGAGCCCACACACACAGCTCAGGAGTCCTGAGATTCAGGGTTAATCCACCCACGCCATCCAACCACCCATCAGCTTTTGCATAAGCAGATGACATCACAGATCAGTGGGGGATTGGTCGGGTGGCTGTCTCCGAGTGGATCTGCACTGGTAAATTTATCTTTGCAAATGTCCTCACAATGACGGACGCCAAAGTGCAAATTCAGGGAAATTTTAGCCCCAAGTGCCACAAACTTCATCTAAAACAGGAAAGCTTTGTTTTCTTTGTCCGTATCTGCAGGCGTTTATTTCTTAACGTTACTAAGATTGAAATAGATGGATTTAATTTAGGTCCGGTCCTCACAAAGCTGGGAGAAGAGGTGTTTGTGTGTCTGTTTGGTGGGATTGGACCGCCCTGCTGTGGCAGGCGGACGGGGAGGTGGGGGAGCTGAAAGGCATCTGTTTAATACTCTTATGTAAAGCAGAACTGTAATACACTTCCCTTTAGTTTCTCTCAGAGTCGTTATTAAAAGTCTGGATTTCCCCTGTTTTTTTCCTCTCTGGAGCACCACAGCTGAAGCAGCTTTCTGCTCAGACTGGGCTGATCCAACATGGGGCTGTTTGACTGATCATTCAAAACCACAAGTTTTAAACACAAAATCCAGAAATGAAAAAAGAAAGAAAGAGTTAAAAATGTCGGCAGACTCATGCGGCTGCCATCATTTCAGAAAGGAGCCACTCCCTCTTAAAAGTTGCTGCTATAATCTAAAATAACTACAATCAATTAAATTAAAAATATATATATATGTAATAACAATAACCAATAACTAAACATTACTTTGTAACTAGCTTCTAAATCACCACTAGGTTGGTTTTCTGTTCTATTTTCGTAAGAATAGCTAAGCTTTAGCATCTGTATATATTATGTCTTTCCCTATAGATATGTGTAATCCTAATATATTGACAGCTAATGCTTTAATGTAGTATGTATTAGCATTAGCAAATAGATGCTAGCTAAGGCTTATACATATCACTGAGCCTCAGATAACATATATATTAATGCAAAACTAAAATCTGCATTAGCCAATATGCATCTATGCTAATACATGGTAAATGTTAGCATTAGCATCCTTCCCTCCTTTTTTACTGACTTTTCTTAATACAATCATGGACAATGCATAAATGATCTGCGGTCACGTTAGCATTTAGCCCCCCACTTGTGATCGAGCAGCCACCATCTGGTGTCGTGACAACGAAATGCTGAAAATAATCTGAGAATGGGATGCTTAGGAGGAGGAGAAGGTAGGAAACCATCATTCATGCCGCCCAAAGCCTCCGGCTGGACGTCTTCCAGCTCAGGGCTGGATGTCGCTGACGGGGTTGAACTCTGGGTCACATATAGTCCAGTAGGTTAATTCGCTTTGTGGTTATTTTTGCTAATAACTTTGACATACCAAATATGATTTATATGAAATCTTTCCGCTGTGGGGGGGGCAGCAGGAGGCCAGTCAACAGGCCTGTCCGGTTCTATGAAACATCACCGGGAGTAAAATGCTGCTTCCTGACTTAATTAAAAGAGGCTCCCTGTTTTAAAGAGCCTGCTGTTTTATTTGGTCTGGAAACTAATGAGAAACGCGCCCACATGAAATTCTATTAAGGATTGTTTGGCCTTAAATCAGCTGCCTGAAAAAGTTTGCTGTTGCTCAAACTTCTTGCTTTTCTTCAGCTGTTTTTTGGGAAAAATGTCCCACTGTCCTGAGATCCTGAACTCTTGGCGGCTAAAGTTCAAAGCCTAAAACTCTGGCTGGTTTTGACCGTGTAAGCCCTTATTTAGGACATCTATTTTTAGAGGAACATGAAAGAGAAGATAAGTCTGAGTTTTCTTTAGACACTTGACAGGACTCCTTTGCCTGAGATAGCAACACCTTTCCTTAAATAGCCCCCTGACCGTAAAAGAGGATAAGGAACACCACACAGGAGTTACATGAGCAGGCTCAGTATTGTCCTTTTCAGAGATAAAAAAAACAGCCCGTTTGTGAGCCCCTAAAGCAGAGGGTCTCTCTGGGACTCACCAGTTAACCAGCATGGCAGCATTGTTCCCCGCGATGAACGGCAGCTCCCCCCGGACCATGTGCAGCACAAATCCCTGAGAGAAGAGCAGTAAGATCCACCAGAGGAGCATGTTCCTCCTCATCCCTTCAGCCCCGGTTCTGCAGGGCTCCATGCATCAAGGGTGGGGGTGTCCCGGCTCAGCAGCACCAGGCGCCCGGCGGTCATGAGGCCGCGGGGGGGCCTGACGGAGCCATGGCAGACGCTGAGAAAAAACACTGACTTCCCCTGGTTCTCACCCCCGTGTGCCGGCCTCTCTGGGCATTATTCCACAGGCTCGGAAACGGGAAGTTTAGGGAATACCCGCGCGGCTAGCCCCCCTCCATCCCACCAGCAGCAGACGGCGTCCTCCCTCCGCGGCTCAGAGTGTGTGTCAGCTGCTGGAAATCACGCTTCAGCCGGGCGGGGGGGGGGCGGGGCGGGGCCTCAGGAGGATCCCGGGTCAGGACGCGTCTCCCCCCTCGTTCTCTCACTGATGGCAGGATGCAGATTGTAACCAGGGATTAGGGAGGTTCAGAAATCGGATTTTGCCCAGAGAAAGCCTTGTGTGTTACTCTGTGTGTGTGTGTTACTGTGTGTGTGTTTGTTACTTTGTGTGTGTGTTACTCTGTGTGTGTGTTACTGTGTGTCTGTGTGTGTGTGTGTGTGTGTGTGTGTGTGTGTTACTCTGTGTGTGTGTGTGTGTGTGTGTGTGTGTCTGAATATACTCGCGCCTGCAGCTGGAAACTGCTGCAGGCGAGAGGATTTTTTTAAAGCCTCAAATGCAATCTTTGGTCTGAAACTGGTCCTTTCTGTTCCGGTAGCCTGAATTCTCTCTTAAGGCTGTTCGGCCCAACACGAACTAACGGGATGTTTAACACGTCCTCTTTTCCTCATGCTTTTCCTTCTTTAAACATCTCCACCTCATTGCTTTCTGTCCCCCCTTTTTTCTGTCCACAAGAAAAAAAAAATCACACTTTATGTCGGAGGAAAATCCAGATATCTGCCAGTAACACTGATTATTGATCATTCACAGGCCTACCAGGAACTCACTCCATTTTCTAACCTGTGGATGTGAGTTCATTTTAAAACAACCAGCATCTACTTTCTGTCTCTGTATTTAGGTCAGCTTTTTATTTTACCTCCTGTTTGATCAAAAATAACTCCACTTCTACACCTTTAGAGGGGATTTAGGGCCTTGATCCCTCATGTTTCTCCCTAAAAAACTCGGAACAAGCTGAGAATGAGTTTGTGTGGATGGCGGGAGGGATCGGCCGGATCAGGGACAGGAGGCAGAATCTGGGTTTAGACAAATGTTTGAATGATTTCAAACCAGCAGGGTTTTAGAGTTCTGTCCAAATAGGAGTCGTCGTCGTTGTTTGGTGGAGAACTTTTGTGTTATTTAAGGAAAAGCTCCAGGTTTTCCACAGTCAGAAGCTTTTTCAGCTCTGACTCATTTATTGTTTTGAACATGTCGAGCGGCAGCCGCCTTCATTAAAGAATCAAAGTTTACTGTCATTCGGAGTGTGTTTGTGCTATTTTTGTGCAGCCTCTTGCTTCGTGACCTTTGACCCGCTGTCCCCTCTCCCTCCCCTCTCAGGACAGTACACGGTGATGATGGCCCACTTCTACCTGAAGAGGAAGATCGGGTACTTTGTCATCCAGACCTACATGCCCTGCTTCATGACGGTGATCCTGTCCCAGGTCTCCTTCTGGCTCAACAGGGAGTCCGTCCCGGCCCGGACCGTCTTCGGTGGGTACAGCAGTCCGACTGCAAACATCACACACTTTACTCTTTATTTTTAGCTCCTTCAGCAGTTAAAAATATCATAAAATCTAAAGGTTGCTGATGAGATTTGTCCGGCTGTTTTTAAGCTTTTAAAAAAATACATTAAAGTGAGGTTTGTTCTATGTGTGATCCTTTTTTTCAAATGGAAATACGGAACAAAAATTAAAGGCGTTTCATTTTATTTGACCTTTCAGTTTTTCCTACATTATTTAAATCTGAAGGCCTTTAAAAAGGGTCACTGAGTGGGGGGGGAGCTAGCTGAGCCTGTGGGGCCTTTTGCGTGCAGGTGTGACCACGGTGCTGACGATGACCACCCTCAGCATCAGCGCCAGGAACTCCCTGCCTAAGGTGGCCTACGCCACGGCCATGGACTGGTTCATCGCCGTCTGCTACGCCTTCGTCTTCTCCGCCCTCATCGAGTTCGCCACCGTCAACTACTTCACCAAGAGGAGCTGGGCCTGGGACGGGAAGAAGGCCATGGAGGCCCAGCACCCCAAGGTAGGGGGCGTGGCATCAGGGGGCGTTATTGTAACTTAACAGCAAACAAAAAAAGATCCGTATCGCACCATAAATTATGGAAACAATATATTTAGAAAAAAGGAAACATTTGAAGGACTCCACACTCGTTTTAAGGCTACTTTAAGCACAATAATGATCAGTTTTCATATAAAATAACTCTGGTACCACAGCCTCCGCCGGGGATATGAGCATATGCTAGCTGCACATGGAGATCTACAGGTTACCACATCTGGAAATGGTAAATAACTAAAGAAGTGTCTGATTGAGGAGCCGAGCTCTGCTGCTGCTCACAAAAGGGAGCAGGTGAGAACAGGTGAGAGGAGGGGAAACGTGCCTAAACACAGGAAATCTGCTAGTTTGTGAGAAAATGAGAAACACAGCAGAGGGGGGCAGCAGTTAGCAGTTAGCCAGATGTGGCTCAACCCAAACACAATACAAAGCAGGAACACCTTAAAGGAAGCCTGTCTCTTTAAATGCAAATGAGACACAAGCAATCCACCCACTTCTTCCGGGAGGTGTGCCCACGTCGGCACGCTAACGCTACCATGCTAACGCTACCATGTTAACGCTACCATGCCAACGCTACCATGCTAACGCTACCATGCTAACGCTACCATGCTAACGCTACCATGCTAACGCTCACGCTACCACGACGTCGGCCACAGATAGGCGGAGTAGGCTGAGGGGGGGGGCAACATGCAGGTGAAAGGCTGGAATATTATAATGAGCTAGAGCTAATGACGTCAGAAACTACCCACTCCTGAAACCTCCTGATTTATCTCCTGGATTCAGACTGAGGCAGCCCACAAAAACATGAAAAGTCATTTTTTTTCACACTTTGCCTGCTGATAGGCCCTCCACAGTCCCAAATGTACATAATCAAATGATTAAAAACTTGGTTTTGCATAATATGTCCCCTTTAAAACTGAACTAACGGGTGGCGGTGCGTTTGTGTCCCGCTGTAGAAACGAGACCCCATGGTGCTCTCCAAGAAGCCCAACAACGTCTGCTCGGCGGGGGTCAACTACACCCCCAACCTCACCAAGGACGTGTCCGTCGCCACCATCTCCAACGCCACCTCCCTGCAGCTGCGCGCCTCCGAGAGCAAGATGGTGGACCCCAAGAAGACCTACAACAGCGTCAGCAAGATCGACAAGATGTCGCGCATCGTGTTCCCCGTGCTGTTCGGGACCTTCAACCTGGTGTACTGGGCCACATACCTGAACCGGGAACCCGTGGTGAAGGGGGTGGCGGCCTCCACATAATGGCTCCTCCTGACCCCCGACCCCGCCCAGACAGAGCCTGAAAGTGGACCCACAGGAGGAGGGCTGGTGGCGGCTCTCCTGTTTGGAAAAAGATGTAAAAAAGGAAAATCTGAAGAAGAAAAACTACACTCAGCTTTCTGATTCGGGCACTTTGCCCGGACGCACAGCAGCAGAAGCCTTGTTCTTGTTTTTCACGGCCTACAAAATCTACCTGGAGAACACTTCGACAGAGGAGCGCTGCTTTGCTTCTTTCTCGTCTGTCCTGCTGCTGTTTGCATGATGTTTTCCCATAAAGGAATTCAGACTTCTGTTCGTCTCCAGTAGCAACCATGTAAAGGTCAGCTATGTTTGAAATACTGGAGTAAGCTTAACTTTGATATGAATTGGGTTCAAAAAGGGGTCTAACCCTACACTATGAGGGAGGAAAGGCCTCTGACAAATACTGAATTTAAGTAATAATCTAGTTTTACGTCATTTCTATTATTTTCTCATTCGCTTGGAGTTACTTATTGGTGTATATGTTTATTATTCAAAGCCCTTTGTTGTTGGCCTGGTTTCCCAAAAGCATAAAAAAAACAGAAGACAAATAACAGAGGGGAAAAACAAGTCACGTGTCAGATTATTCATAAAGAAAATTCAAAATCTCAACATCTGGGGCAACAAGACGAGAATACGGCGTAAGCATCTTTAGCCTCGTGCACGGGATGGCTGCCGTGGTTACCGCGTGAGCGTTCGCTCTAATGAGGCTGGAGGATTTCAACACGCCACTCTGGAAAACCAGCGTCCTGCTAATGTGTCTGTGGACGGATCACCGGGGCGCCAACAGGTGTTTGAGCGGGTGGCACTAAAATCCTGACAGACAGACTTCTTAAACATTCATCATTTGCAAAGGCGCTAAATTCTGGAGCGTAAATGGAGCAAAATTGGCTCCCTTCTCTGCAATCTCTCCTGAGTGGTTTAGTCTTAGTGCTCTGAAAATGTTACATCTGACGATGCAATCAAGTCTAAAGTGTATTAAAATGCCCTTTAACGCAGGTGTGAATCATTATAATTACATAAGTAGTTTCTGCCAGAAACACTCTTGTGTCATTTAATACAAAATTTTTAAAAAACAGCTAAGCTAGCTTAGCTGAGCATGCTAGCACCCCAAAATGTCTTGGTTTCTCTGCTATTTGTTTATACTGTTTTGATATTTATTTTGAGGTTATATATGATTTAATTCCATTTCTTTTTATTTATTTATTTATTATAGAGCTTGAAATTAGCAATGAAACATTTTGTGAAAAACTTGCTAGCTGGGCAGCTAATAGGGTAATAAAATCATGGGAGGTAAATTATTCCTAATGTTTCACTAACATGATATTCTTTTTTCTTTATTTTCATACAAATGTGATTGTTGGTGAAAAACTCAGCCAGAAAGAGGCTGTTATTTTTGGGTTCTTTGGTTTTCTGTTGCCCAGAGTCGTCTCCCTCCGGACATGGGGCTGCTGGGGGCTAATTTGTGGGGCGCAGAGCTGAACTCCAGCACAGTCTGTGTGGATTTATCTCGTACCCCAAATGAACCGACTTAAACTTTATGCACATTGATTTTCCTGAGAACTATTGAATAGAGTTGAGACATAGCCTTGAAACTACGTAGACTTTGGGAAATCAGGCCAAAGCGTCTGAGGGGAGTCATGTAAATAGTCTTTTTTCAGCTCAAACATTAACATCAAGGTTCTCACATTTCCATTTTAATCCCTCTGAAGAAAAAAGGCCAAAGTCTAATGCTGACTTGAAACATATTCAGAGCATCTTCTCGTCT